AACAATCCACCCGCCTCGGCCTCCCAGAGAGCTAGGATCACAGGCGTGAGCCACCGCGCCCGGCCCACACTGCCCGTCCTTGCAGCCACCCCCTGGCTTGGGGGCTTCAGGCTGGGCCCCGAGCCACGTGGGTCAGCAGCTGCCATATCACCGATTGTGACCTCGGGGGCTTCTGACGTCACAGTGAGCCTGTGGGCCCCGTCTGGCCGGGCCCGGGCTGTTGCTCCCGTGGCGGCCGAGGCCATGGCTAGCTCTGGCCCCTCCGGCGTCACATGGGCTGGCCCACGGTGTCCTGCTCACTCGCGTGGTTCGTGGGGCCCCTCCTTTGTGGGCGGAAGCTCCTGGCATACCCCAGGACTGGGCCTCCCTGGTTGACTGAGCCTGCTGCAGCTGGGGGCCCTGACCATTTTCGGGGGCTACGGCTGCTCTGCCAGCCTGCATCTCCCGGGGTGAGAGCGGTTCCCGGGCATTCTGAGCCAGGACTTGGGGCGGGCCGCCTGTGTTGCTGGGAGCAGCAGCCCCGAGTGGGAAGCGGTGGAGACCAGCCTGGCGTGGCCCTGGGCTCTGCAGCGTCCCCAGGGGAGGCAGGCTCAGCGGGGTCTGTTTGCAAGGTCACCCGGATCACGCAGAGAGGCAGGCAAGGGCTGGGGCGGGTGCAGCCTCTAGGTGCAGAGAGGAAGGTGGGGCGCTGACAGTCCCTGCCCCAAATCTGCGCCCTGCTGGGGTGCGGGGCCGGGGCAGCCCTGGGAGCTGTGCCACCCCGATGCCGCAGGAGGACACTCCCCACGGGCACGCCCCGGCCCCTGCAGCGCAGAGCGATGGACGGGGCCTGGCCACGGTGTCAGGGTTCACTGAGCCCGAGGGGCGGCCCTGGAGCACCCACCACTCCAGGGTCTGCCTCAGTGGCCCCCCAGGGCTGCCGCGTCCCCGTGCGCGCGTGGGCTGCGCCCTCCTGCGTGTCGTGGGCGCTGGGCTTCCATGCGCAGCAGCTGGAACCGCGCATCAGGGTGGTCCGGGCCGAAGGGCTCGTGCCAAGGTCCCCGGGAGCCCCGGCCCTGGGCTCGGAGCTGGAGCAGCAGACGCCCCGTCCCAGAGGCCGCAATTTTAAAAATGATCCAGCCCCCAAGTCGCGCTCGGCCAGCAGCCACCACCCTGGACAGCGCGCACACAGGACCTCCCCAAAGCGCTCCCTAGTCTCGGAAGCTGGTACCACTTGCTCCCGCCCAGGCCCGTGTGCAAAGACGCGGCCCCCGGGATCCCCCCAGAGCAGGACTGAGTCCCCTCCCTGACCGGGGGCTTCGCCGCCAGCTCAGGGCCCCGAATGTGCAGCCGGGGTGCTGGCGGGGGGTCCCCACCGTCTCCGCAGGCCCCCAGGTCACGTGGCGAGGGCGCAAACCACCCCAACGTCCCTCCAGGGGTGGACACCCCTGGAATCCCGCTCGGTAGTGAAAAGGAGCAAATGCAACTTGGGGGGCTGGGGGGGGATCTCAAGGACACGACAACGATCAGCAAAGCAGCAGGGAAGGATGCATGCGCTCGCACGTCCATGCACGCGCGCGCACAGTCGTGCGCACGCATGCGCCCTTGAGACAGCATGCAGGGGCGCGCCGCACCCCCATCGCCGCTGGGCACGTCTTGTCACTCTGCCATGCGCCCCGCCCACCCCTGCCCCCTCTGACGTCCCCTTTTGTCCCCTAGCCATGGCTGAGAAGCTCCCCGAAGCGTAACCTCCTCCGCGATGGCCTCGGGCACCCACAAGACGTCTCAGCAGAGCAAGACGCGTAGGAACAAGGCGCAGGAGATGTTTGCCAGCACGTTTCCCTACAGGTACGGGATGTCCAGACCCCTGGAGGGCGCCAGGCCCCGCCGCCTCCCAGGTCTCCCCAGGACCCTGGGAGCGCAAACGTGTCCTGCGGGGCTGCAGCTGGGGGGGGGGGGTCTCCCGTTGCCGGGGAGTGCGCTGAGCAGGCCTGTGCTCTGCCGAGTCGGGGACCCCCGTCCTCACCCCATTGCAGCCTCAGCTGAGGGGCCTCTAGCTAGGCCCCATGCGCATGAGCGCGCATAAATGCACGTGCGTGCGCACGAATGCATGTGCGTGCGCTTAAATACGTGCGTGCGCATGAATGCATGTGTGTGCGCTTGAATACGTGCGTGCGCATGAATACGTGCGTGCGCATGAATACGTGCGTGTGCATGAGCGCGCATGAATGTACGTGCATATACATGAATGCATGTGCGTGCGCTTGAATACATGCGTGCGCATGACTGCGCATGAATGTACATGCGTACTGATGAATGTACGTGCGTGTGCATGATCGCGCATGAATGTACGTGCATGCGCACGAGCGCGCATAAATGCACGTGCGTGCGCATGAACGCACGTGCGTGCATTTGAATACGTGCGTGCGCATGAATGTACGAGCATGCGCATGAGCGCGCATGAATGGACGTGCGTGCGCTTGAATACGTGCGTGCGCATGAATGTACGTGCTTGCGCATGGGTGCGCATGAATGCACATGGGTGCACGAGTGTGTGCATTAGTTTGCGTGTGTGCATATGTGCACGCGGCCCCCCTCTCTCCAGGACCACCCCAGAGCTAGGCCAGCTGCTTCCCTCGGGGCCGGCAGCCCCTCCCTGGGATCACCGCGGCTGCAGATACACGCCCCCACGGGGATGTTGCAGACATCCGTTCCTCCCAAAGGGGTGCCAGCATTGCTCTGGGCGGGCGCCAGTCATCTGTAAAGCCCCTGAGGACCCAGGAGCCAGCAGAGACAGCCAGCTCGCCCACAGGGGCCCTGGGCAAAGCCTCCAGGGGGAGCTTCACTTTGCCAGGAAGCCACCGGC